CAGCGCATTCCTGAATGAATGATATGTTAGCTTTCCATACATTTGGGCGGGGTGTGACCTGATCGTATAACATGTCCCTAGTTCTAAACGTGAATGACAGAACAGCGTGATCGCTGTTCACTAACGGTGGAAGAAATACAATTATTTAAACCACCAGGATGGGGCCTACAGTCATTCATAATAAAGTTACATAACTAATTAATAAATACTCGGAAAACTAACTTGACTTAATGGTAGATCCACTTCGATTTCAGTTTCATTTTAGAAGGGACGGGAGATTAGGTGGCCCATGTTTGTCTTAGTAATGGTGATTTCTCAGTTCATTCAACTCTCCTCTGAATGCGTCAACGGGTGGAGCCTTGATTATGTTTAAAGGATAATGGTTCCATCCGTTAATGATTTGATGACAGAATCGTTAATCAATAAACAGGTAATTTGTTTTGAAGTCGTGAACATTCCCCGTGTTCTCGCAAATTCTTCGTCCCAAAAGACAGGAAATATAAAGGTGTTTCAGCTGTAAACTTATTACTAGGTAATTAAAAAACTGTGATCAAGTCACCTCTTGTCTGCTTATTTAACCCAGTTTCTACTCATATGGCAGCCTTGCAACGCAGGAAATCAAGTTAGCTGCCATTCCTTTTTGTACTTCCGGACACATTTCTGCCTTATTTTAGACAGGAGCTAGTTGCTTGCATGGAATACTTAAGTTTGTAACGAATGGATGTTGTATGTAAAGTCTAAAAGATCCTTGGTAAGCAGATGGCTAAATATTTAACATATTGATCATACGGCCACCGCGCGACAGTGTGAAGTGGTCTTCAAGTCTTGGCTAAAGATGACTCTTAGGTCTATGTATACCAGGAACAGATGGCCTAAGGTCATTCACTGTGCATTCATCTATACATTGGAGATCAATATGCATCGTGATGCACTTGAAAGTATCTATCAGAAACTGCTAAATTATATACAATTCAGATGAATCCTATAGGTTAATTTGAGGATCTAAACTATAGCCTACATATCTTATGGCTCTCCATATCTCGATATCTTCAGCATACGACGAAACCGATTATGAGAAGAAATTATGTAGGTCATTTCGCACAGGAGGAATAATACTGATCCCACTTAGCACAATTTCTCGGCTGTGGAATTCTTCTAACCCTTTAACAATCTCACTTGAATTACACATAGATCAAAGCATATGCTATGAGGTTTTGAAATAACATTTACCAGTCCCCTCAGTAATCTAGGACACCTTTCATCAGGTCCTCTAGATTTACATTATTCAAGCTCATTTACACAGACCAAAGGGTTTTTTAATGATTATTATGTTGTAAGGAGGCGTTTGTATGAATCTAAGAAAATAGAACTAGTACTATATATACATTGGAGAGGTTATTTGATAATACATGAGCATTATCGTAATCATCTTACATTAATGAGGTACCATCATTTCCTATAATAATGATATGTTGCTTTTTTTCTTGGTCTTTTACTTTATGTACGAATATAAGCCTTCATTGTATTCCACAGACTCCCCAATGGGCTTTTCTTCATGTTATTTTCTAGACCTGTGTAGGGTCGAAGCGCAAATATTTCGAGCTTCTTGATATTGATATTTTATCACACCAGTAACCTAAGTCCCTCTAACATCCTTTCCCTATCACAGAGGAGGGTAGAAACCTTACTGAGCTATAGTGGGAAGTTTCTCAGGTTCTCCCATGTATTACAAAAAAACACGTAATGCTACGACATTTTAATGTACAAATTTCTAAATACTCACAATCTGTTTCAATGCTGGGTTTTTGTGTTGTTGTTCAGTCAGTTGAGGACACTGAGTGAACATTTTCCGTGGCGTCATCAATATGAGATCTAGTAAAGATGATTCGGGGTTCATCTCGTACTTAGTTGCCCTTTTCTTATGTTGCACAGGTAATGACCGCGTCAGGTGGTTTCGTTGGAAGAAAACTCCTGACAACTAATTTCTTCGATTTTTCTGCCAATCGTTGGTGAATTAGGTTCTCCTAAAATCAAATATCGGCCGATTAAATAACAAGCCTTTAATTCGCCTTGCGACAGTACATTTGTAATAGCTTAGGTTGTTTGGTTGAGAGTTGACCTCAAACAACCAAGCATATGTCAAAACAGTACAGTTCAAGTATTTATTCACTTCCTTATTTTGCATAGGCGTTATATTTATAGCACGAGGGTTACCTTAAGGCACGAAACATTCGCCTTACAGTTTGAACTGAGGCAAACCAAACTAGTTAGCAGCTCTTATCCTTTGCATTTCAGGCGAAAACTAGTCCGAACGCTCCACCCTTATGGGATATGTTATCATTGGTGGTAAAAATAATATTACTCCTAAAGACAAAGAATACTCCTCCTTCTTTACACTTCTGCGTTCTTTTAGCTCTTACTCATATGAGATTTTGAAGGACATGTCCTCTATTGTCCACAGGCTGGATCACCCAAATTTCGATGACAACGACCACATCCGGCTTGATAGGGTTTGTCTGGAAAAATCGCTGGGTTAGCTTGTTGGGCAAGTTCTGGGCATTTCTGAAACGAACAGGAAGTCCATTTAAGTGGCTTCTTGTTTCACGCAAAGTGACTTTGAAATCACTAGTTGTTGAAGTCTCATCATGTGAAATTTACACTCTTAAGAATTTTCTAGCCAACAACTGATCTTAGCTTTAGTTTTTATATCTTCTTTTCTTCTAATTAGTCCGATCATGACGAACTCTTATCAAACCGGTTTCATTCTCAAATCCAATTCTAAGGTCATGGCTATCGCTCTCCTTGACTCAATGAAAGATGATTGACCGTTCACTATGATCAGTCATCAATTTTGCAACTAAGATGAGAAGAGTCGCTGAAACATTGAAATCTCAACCTATCTGGTAGGTAAGTGAAATTATCGGGTTTAATCACGTTACTGTCTCGAAAGGAAGACGGACTTTATGTTTTCTTCACTTTCAGGTTTTTTATGCATCCATATTTCTCTTGAATTTGTCGATTTAGAGAGCGGAGACACCCTGGAGGCAGATCCTAGTTCATCAAACGGTGGGTAGACCCGTATACTATGGAGATTCAGTCCATTTTCGGCTTTGGACTCGCCCACATTTTACACAGGATTTCATCGACTTGTTCGAAAGAACATGAGAAGATGTGTTTTGTTTGAAATTATTTCCTATTATCTGATGCACCACAATCTACCATAGAATAATGTGTAGAGAACTAGCGATCATTCGAAACCGTTTATCTTGAGGTTAGCTGGGATTGTACCGTTGGCAGTTCCAAGATATCGTGTCAGGAAATTCAAGTTGGCTTTTTAATAGAGGCTTGCTGCGTGGAAGCTGTTTTTAGATTTAAACCTCACTGTGGCTCTGCGGAGTTTGGTGAATATATTCTTATTTCACTTGGCGCAAGACCTTTTTATCGCACACACTGTTATCAAATCTTGAGTTATTACAGAAAGTTAATGGCGGCATTTAAAATATGAATTATCACTGATAAGAGAGTTAAATGTACGAAGTTTTGTCAAAATCTCGCCTAAGCCAGCGTCAATTTATTCGTTCTTAAAAAATCAATCCAATTTCCCCCTACCAATAGGTTTTTTGTGATCGATTATGTTTCAAAATTCCTTGTGTGTACTTAATCTAACGGACAGTAATTTTATGGATGCATTGTACAATTTCTGAAATTGTGTTTGTGAAATTAATATGCCTATACTTTGGTGAGTGGTCTTTAGACTCTGTTTTGGAAACTTTAGTGAATATCACATCTTTAACGTTTATTGGTTAAATCGTTATTGAGAAAGAAATACAACATCTCGTAATTTAACTAGTCAACATAGGACGTAATTTATCGGCAACTGCCAACTTGAATGAATCTTAAGTACATAGTGCCTTCAGTGCTCCCTTCTTCCTAAATTTCGCACTTCACAGTTTTTCTGTCATCCTTTTTGCCACCAACTCTTAGTTCGGACACATTTTGGGAGAGTAAATAAATATATAACCCTCATTCCGGGTAGTTTCTTTCCGCTTAAAACCCATCCGCTTCTATCGTTGGAATGGGAATCCTCTGATTGTCTCCCTAGTTTTATGAATGGGATTTGACAAATTTAATTTGAACATTCTATTTGGGGTCTCAGAATTTCCTTGGCACATTTATTGAGATTTAGTCATAAAACTTTACTGTATAGAATGAGAAATATCTTGCCTTGACATCGTAGCGTTTTCGGAATCAGTAAGCATTGCATCTTGAGATTAATCCACCTAGGACTGTGACAGTAGATAAACTACCAAAATAAATAGTTCTGTAAGTCTTTGAAACTGGTCCTGACCTTATTATTTTTACTGGACGTACCCTGGCTGAAGGCGATCGTCCCTACATCCACAGCGAATCACAAATTCGTACACCGTGCTCCTCATCTTCTGCAACTATTAACCGGCTTAAATTAAACGCTTCTGAACACGTCGACAACCTTCCAAATATATCTTCAAACTCATTCATCGTTGACTTCTGATTTGAATGGGTTGGTATCCTTCGATTATAAGTGTCGAAAAGTTACGAAATTATTCATTTCGAGGATTCATTTTTTACTACGGATCACTGTCACCAAGTCTGATACATAGACTGAATAATAGCCAACTGATTGAAAGAAATCATATCCACATACTTGTAACACTCATTTAACTATTTTACTTCTCCACAGTGAATAACTTACCGTCAGCAAAGAGCCAACATCTAGGCGCAATCCAATGCCAATGTGTATACTAACCGAAGGTAACTAGGTACACTGAAATAGAGTCAGTGTTTAAAGTCGATACTACCAATTTGCCTGGAGGTATTAGTGATCAGTTGCTGATAGACACGTAAGCCAAAGAGCGAAAGCTTCTTACATTCCGTCCAAAACCATTTTAAGCACTTAAACCATTTGCAAATAAAGCTAGTTTCACGTTCGCACTTGCATTGGATAGGTATTAAATAACGTATTGATTAGCGGTAGTTTTGACAAACTTTGTTACACTACGAGATCCTACTCAAAACTAGCAAAATGCCGTTTATGCAAAGGAGAGTGTACAAAATGGACAAAATGCAGAAGGCAGAGGAAAGAATCAAGTCTAATCCCTGGGATATCGAGGCATGGAGTGTTTTGTTGCGTGATGCTCAAAGTAAAAAGATTGATGATGCAAGGGAAGTTTTTGAACGTATTGTTACACAGTTCCCGGTAGCTGGTCAGTATTGGAAGATTTATATTAATCAAGAGGTAAATTAAATGCTTTTTAGGCAACTTTTCAGATGAAAGCCAAAAATTATGAAAGGGTCGAAAAATTATTTCAGCGTTGTCTAGTTAAGATACTAAACATTGACTTATGGAAAATATACTTGCAGTATATTAAGGAAACTAAAGGAAAGCATCAATCTTTTAAGTAAGGGATATACTTTGTCTGACCGTTTTTCACTTTAGGGAGAAAATGGCACAAGCTTACGATTTTACTCTGGATAAAATGGGCTTAGATCTTAATTCTTATTCAATATGGGCAGACTACATATCCTTTCTTCGTTCAACGTAAGTACTTTTTTCCCGGTTGTGTAAAGTGAAATAACTATGTGTATAACAGAGTGGGTTTTTGTTTGGATGTCTCTAACCTAACAAGTTGAACCTGTTCTAGTTTGGAAAACAACATAGAGTCGATCTGACTAAAATTACTAGTATTGTTCGAGCAACTGTAGACGTTTCAGGTCGAAGTTTTCGGTTCTTAGCATCTTGTGTTATAATGAGATTTTGTTAAATAAAAAATTGAGGGTTTCGATACCGTTAATCGACTACTGAGAAGTACAAAGTCCATCTGTCTGGTTCCCAGAAACCATCGAGGTATGTCATTAAATAGCTACCTATTTTGATCCCCTTAATTCAGGATACGGGTCGATAATTTAAGGTTTTCCAAAGTAGTTTTTATCCCTTAATTTGTAGGTTTTGTCCTTTAAGCCATTATTACACCATCTCATTACTCTCATGTGAAGGAGCTTGAAGGTTGTCTAGGTTCAGTACAAATAGGTTTTGTTTGGATACTACCGACCTTACACGTTTCTGTTGTAAGTTTTATTGAGTTTCAGATATCCCATTCCCGTGTCTTTTGAAGTAAAGCAGTGGATCGACATGATTCTGCTGGACATATTTTATGCAACTCATCCTCTCATGAATAGTTGAAAAAACGAAAGCCAATTTCCATATGGTCAGTTATTTATAGGAATATCACTTGATTCGAATCAACGGGTGTTAGTACTATGGATATAATCATTGGGAATCTAGAAGCTAGCGAAAATTCAAATAACCTGAGTGTTAATTCAGCGGATTAGTGATACATATGTATGATCAGTTATTTAATGAACTATGTGTTAAGTGTACTGTAATTAATGCATTTCACCCTAATTTCACGAGACTTCATCTTGATTGGGTAGTTGTGAAAAGTATAGCATAACTGCGAACAAGAAGTTATGTTATATTTTATGATTTTTGTATAGTCAAGTTCAAGGTTCATATGCAGAAAGTCAAAAAATAACTGCAACTAGACGTGTGTACCAACGTGCAATTGTTACTCCTATGCTTGGTATCGAAACTATTTGGCGTGATTATTGCATGTATGAAAACTCAATTAATCCTCTTATCGCGAAAAAGTTTACCGAGGAACGTAGTCGGGACTATATGAACGCACGTCGTGTAGCTAAAGAATATGAAGTTATTACAAAAGGACTGTCCAGGACTATGCCGTCAGTGCCTCCCCAAAATACACCGTATGAAGCTAAACAGGTGAGTTCATATGGTATGTTCTAATTTTAATTAAGTCATTTGCCAGTTATTTGTGTAACAGCCACATCCGGAGGGGTAATAATATTACCTGGTTGCCCAGACTAAAGCAGATCAAACGGGGTTCGAACCTGAGACTAAAGGTTGAACGCCATAACTACTAAGCTACCACGTCACCATATGGTATGTTAAAGTATTTACTGCAAGACTTCTCTATGACGTTTATAGTTCTTTAATGGTGAAAGGACCTGAATATTTGTTCACAGACTTGAACCCTGCTTTGCAAGTTAGTTCTGGCTTACTTTTTAATTATTAGGACCAATATGCATAAGAATTAGTCATGCTTTCACTGGTCTACAGTTCCTATTAGTCTGCGTTGTTTATATCCCCACTCAAATGCATGATGTCAATAAAAATGAGAGGAATAACATTAATCTATCAGACTGAATAACCTATTTTATCGTTACTCTACTCGTATAATAGAGGTTACACAAAATAGTTCAAAGCATTTGTCTTCGATTACTTAACCAATATCTTGACCCGTAGTAATTTATCAGTGAAAATAGTTGGTCATTGTTATCTATTAGAAGTAATAAATTCACCAAAAGACTCATGAGTTCTAATTTTGAAGCGCTCGTTCATAAGTGATGTATTTGCAGGGTCTTTTCTTAACAAACCTGTATGAAAAATTTATTTGCAATATGGGTCTTAAAGTAAAGCAAGAATTTGTTTATTACCTTATGTCAATTCAAAGTAAATGCACTTGCATTAAATCTATCTGATATGACGAGATGAAAAGTCAAAATTACGTTCTTTTACTCGTTATGATATTTGTCCATTACTTCCATTTTAATTCAATGTGATAATTATTCAGTGTAGCATTCGGTTTTCTTTTCCCGTATGATATTTTATTCTGTATAACTTACGATATTCTTGTATTAAGTTAACATAAACTATACTCATTATATTTATTATAACTGTAAGTCTTTTTGCAAGCAACCGAGCTATACTGGCTGGAACAACCGTTCCTCAAGGTCCTACCATGTCAGACAGGTCGGTTGAAGAGCGGTAAGACTAAAAGCAACAAACCCAAGGTCCGAAGGCGAAGTCGTACTGCTGACTGTACAGAGGTGTGACAGCAGTAAGGTGTTTCCTTCAGACAACCAGCATGACAGCGATGCTGCCTTCCCACAAGGAGGGGTGGGGTTAGTAAAGGTCGACCCTAAAAATGCGCACCTCACCTTACCTCACGGATTTCCGTCTCCGGCGGTAAGGCCCTTTGAAGAACGGAGCTAACACGTCAAAAACCTCCCACGAAAAGGCCGTGAGCGACCGGCCTCAAGCAGTTGTCCCTTGGGCACTGCGGTCACGCTCTCAGGTCACTGAGACCGCCTCTAATCCAATTTCCTTTTCAGGTACCTCCAGAAGAACCCTTCCACGGTGTGGGCAACCGGGAAGTGGTAACCGCCCTCATACCTCTAACAGCACCCAAGACCACTGTATTCATAATCAACCTTCCTCTTCAATTCCTATTATTCCTCCTACATCGACTTTCAACCCTAAACTTCCTCCTTCGGCTTCCTCCTCAAGTGTCACCATAGCCAACGATTCTAGTGCTCAAAACTCTGTCCCAGGTCTACTGAAACCTCGCTCCAAACTACACATTGGAGCTTTCAACGTACGCACTCTATGTCAAATCGGTCAGCAGGCTTCCTTGGCTAAAACCCTAGAGTCTCTTTCCATTGATGTATACTGTGTCTCCGAAACACGCATACAGGATTCCAGTGTGGTCATTCACTTGACCTCACCTCGGCAAAACGGAGAGCCAACGAGATACACCCTACATGTATCTGGTGACCCGATGGCCAGTTCTCGTGGACTGGCAGGTGTAGGCATAGCACTAAGCATGAGGGCGGAACAAGCACTGCTAGAATGGATCCCCGTCAACAGTCGTCTATGTGCTGTTCGGTTAAACGGCTCCGTAAGAACTCGGAAGGATTGGGATACACGTCGTTGCCTTTTCGTCGTTTCTGCCTACGCTCCCACTGACTGCAGCTCAGATGATGTGAAAGATGAATTTTACAGAAAGCTTTCTGAACTTCTTCAGAAAGCTAAACGCTCAGACATAGTACTCATAGGAGGTGACTTTAATGCTCAGATAGGTAGCTTAAACCAAACAGAAAGGCATTTAGGTGGATATTTGAGCATTCCGGCACAGTGAACAGATAATGGTGACCGCCTGCTGCAACTGTGCTCAGACAATCGTTTATTTTTAGCAAACACAAATTTTAAGCATAAAGAGAGACATCGTCTAACATGGCGACCCCCTACACCAAATCAACGATGGACTCAAATAGACCATATTGCCATCAGTCATCGTTGGAGAGGGTCGGTACAAGATTGTCGCTCATTCTGGAGTACCTGCTTGGACTCCGACCACGCCCTAATACGGGCACGCATCTGCTTGCGCCTCACTGGACGCAAAAAAGCCACAGTAAAAAGACCCATTAGAACCGAACTGAGTAGCGAGGAAACCAAAAGTAGGTTCCAGGAACAACTGTCACGATTAGGTAGTTCTGAAAACGAGGTTGACCCAGTTGTTGCTTGGAAAGCCATACAAACAGCTGTGGAAACAGCAGTGACATCTATCAGTGATTTAAACCACAGGGTTACAAAGAACCAATGGATTTCTTCAAAGTCTATCACACTGATGGATTCTCGCAAACTCGTCCCATCAGGTTCCGAACATGATGAAGAGCGACAACAAATCAGATCTAGGTTAAGAAAAAGTCTAAGAAACGACCGTGAGCAGTGGTGGGCAATGAAAGCAAAAGAGATGGAAAAGGCGGCGACTATAGGGAACACAAGACAGCTTTACAGACTAATAAAAGAAACTGGAATTAATAAGTCAAGTGTAAGTGAGATTATATCGGAAAAAGACGATACTCTCATCTGCTCCCAGTCCAGACGTTTAGAACAATGGGCGGAACATTTCAGAGAACAGTTCAACTGGCCTTCAGACCGCGAGATTCTGTGGCATTGTCTGTCATTGAAAGGCGTACCACAGAAGTACATAAACCTTGTGAAGGCTCTTTACTCGAACACTACTAGTCGAGTCAGAGCTTATGGCGAACTGTCATCTACTTTTGCAACCTCAAGTGGTGTCCGTCAAGGCTGTCCACTTTTCCCATTTTTGTTTAACTTCATCATAGATCTACTGATGGAAATAACTTTCTCGTCGACTGAATTCTCGGGTATTGATCTCCATCCAGGAGGTCCACTTATCGACTTAGAATACGCAGATGACATAGTCCTGTTTGGTGAAGACGCTGACAAAATGCAGAGTCTTTTGGTAGCACTAAGCAACAATGCCAGAATGTTTGGAATGCGCTTCTCTCCCTCTAAATGCAAGTTGTTGCTTCAGGACTGGTCTGCGTCAACACCTGAACTAAGAATAGGGAGTGAAGTAGTTGAACGCGTTGGCAACTTCACTTATCTTGGAAGTCTGATCAGCCCTAATGGGTTGGTGTCTGACGAAATCTCAGCACGGATTCGAAAAGCTCGCTTGGCTTTTGCCAACTTGAGTCACCTTTGGCGAAGGCGAGATATCCGTCTATCAATAAAAGGACGGGTATACTGCGCGGCAGTCCGTTCTGTTTTACTTTACGGCAGTGAAACATGGCCTTTAAGAGTAGAAGACACTCGTAAGCTACTAGTATTTGACCACAGATGTCCTAGAAATATTGCTGGCATCTGCTGGGATCACCGGGTAAGTAATAGTGAGGTTAGACGCAGGGTATTAGGGAATGATGGTAAATCAGTTGATGAGGTTATGAATCTTTATCGACTGAGATGGTTGGGCCACGTGTTACGTATGCCTGAACACCGACTACCACGACGTGCAATGCTATCCGGTATTGGAGATAGTTGGAAGAAAGTTAGGGGCGGCCAAACCAAAACGTGGCATCAGTGCTTGAAGACACTGACTTCTAGTCTGAGCCATGTTGGTAGATGCAGACTACTTGGTTGGGGTCCGCGTGACTTTCGTAACCAATGGTTGGAGACTCTTGGTGACATGGCTCAGAATCGATCACAATGGCGTCGGTGTATACACTCCCTGTCTTCCCTTAAACTAAGAGATTAAAATCACTTCATATCTTTCTTTCTACGAACCAATTCTTTCTTCTTGTACTATATCTCTATATGCAATCTTTCTCTTATATATTACCACCTTTGACCTAACCACTGCTATGAATACGGTGTTCATCTTGTTGTGCTGATGTGGTATGGCAACCTGGACCGATGCACATATGTGCCTGGTCCTACGTTGTAGCTGACTGACTGACTGAAGTATTTTTGATATATGTGATTTCGTACTAATTAATAACCAAAACGTGTGTACAAATCAATATATAAATGAATGTATTTTCGAATATTGTGGTAGTCGTGTTTTGGGTTTAGTAAACCTTCACTTGTAGAAGTCCTTGTGTTCTTACTTTTGCGTCTTGGGAATTGCAATGGTTCTTCGTTTTACAAGTATAAGTGATAAGCGATTCCGATATAACAATTAACGACGAGCAGATATAACAATTGTTGACGTAGTCATAACAGTCGACCACCAGTCATAACACTATCAATTTATTGGATAAGTTTTTTGACCGAAATTTCCTCCGACCACTTTGAAAGTTAAGTTTCCAGTAGTTGCTCTGTGTGTAATCAGTCTTGGTCATACGTTTTTAATTCGTTTGAAGTTAACACTCTGGTTCTATCTAAATTTTTACACTGCTTTTTACTTTGCTTTTAAGGTCGAACTATGGAAGAAGTATATTCAATGGGAAAAAGATAATCCATTGAAAACAGAAGATATCATCACAGTCACAAAAAGAGGTTGGTAGTGTTTTTAAAAGTACCAGAAAACCTTTAGTAAAAGTAGTACTTGTTTTTGAGGTTAGGAACTTCATTTACAATCACTGTTTGATCTTCAATGACCTTAGATTTTCAGTCATTGGTGTCCGATTAGGGAACTTAGCCAGGGTCCTTCATATGCCCTAAACTGTATGTTCTCAGTCACGAATTCACACTAGGAAACCATTGATTTTTCCAACGATTATATATGGTTATTACTATTCATAATCTATAGTGATTCCCTTTTGCTAAAGAATGACTGGGACATAAAAAATCAAGCTGAAAAAATGATATATATTGGTATTTCCTTATTCTGAAAGGCTTTCACCAGCTCATTACTTTTAACCACTTTGATCATTTATTCTTGTGCAATAGTTTTTGTGTGAAAATCAGCATATTACGCTTTGGAGAGGATGGAACCAACCAGTAGTAGGGTTGTACAAAATACGGAGGATGATGGGAAATGAATTCAGTTGTGCTTCTTCGAAACATTGCTTGTATATCCTGGAACCACCGAGTAAGTAATGCAATTGTTAGGAAACGGGTACTAGGTAAGGATGGCAAATCAGTTGATGAAGTAGTGGAACTTCATGGCTCAAAATCGTCTGCAATGGCGCAGGTGCATCCACTCTGTGTTCTTCCAAATTCTAATCTTTTGAATTCTTCATGTCCCTTTTTTACTCTTTCCAAATTTATTTCTCTAGATGGTACTCTTCGAGTAACATCTTCAAACCCTAATCTTCCGGATTACTGCCCATACTCTTACTATCTCTACCACTATGGGATTTGGATCGACAACTGCATCTTTGTGCTAATATGGTATGGCAACTCGAACTGATGTACGTACGTACGAAGTTCTACGTTGTTACTGTTTGACTGTGCTTTTGCGATCGATTTTGAGTCATCTCATTTAGCTTCTGTGACTGTAGACTAGGACTGTTGCGTGGGTCCCAGTCAGGAAGTTTGCGTCTCATCAGATAGTTCAGTCCAACCGTCAGTAACTTGGTGGTCTGATGGGCACTCTTGGCTTTTCTCAAACCTATCGTTGATAAACTTCTACAGATTTATCATTTGACTTACCATTCCTACCGAAAACCCAACAATCATTCTCAGATCAACTCACAAACGAGGATTTTTGTTGAAAAGGGTGATGAAGGCAATTTTAATAATAATAATAATAATAATAATAATAATAATAATAATAATATGAAAGCGCTAATTTCAATAAATCTCTTCAGCGTAAGAACTGTCGACGTGCTGATAAGCGGAAACCTAGCTGAATGTTTCATTAATTTTGTTATGCATTCAAGCACAGGTTGGTGCATGAGCTATGAATAATCATTTGGTATTGTAGCTACATTAGGAGTTATGGTTTAATAGACACTGAGACATATTATAACCATTACCGCTTGGTAACTACCGTATTGCTACGTTATCGGAAAGCCAACTTTTAAAACATGTCATTATTAGTTGCATAAAAGTTTCATTATATATATTTGTTTACTTTCAGTAATGTTTGCCTATGAACAATGTCTTTTATGTCTCGGACATCATCCAGATATATGGTATGAAGCTGCTAGCTACTTGGATCATGCAAGCAAAATTTTGGTTGAAAAGGGAGTACGTACTTATATACTTTGTGTGTAATATTTACCAATCATTTAGTAACTAATTTTTTCAGTGTATTGTGATTAAATAACACAAATCAACTTTATGGTTTTATTCTAGTATAATATACGCAGTTTTATTGTTACTTATTTGCCAAGTATTGGCGTACACACTCTACCATGCCTCACTTTTTATGTATGTGTAAAGAGTCTAGTATTAATATTTGGTTACAGGGACCGTTACGTAGTAGAATTTCAGTCCTACTCAAAATAGGAATTATATATATGGAAGAATCTTGGTCATCAAACAGTTTCGTTATATTTGATGAAAACCCTTTGTGTTTTCTGATAAATTTTCTACTTGTTGCCATTTTTTTGTAAAAGGATCAAACAACAGCTAGACAATTTGCCAACGATACAGCGGCAATGTATGAACGAGCTATTGCTTTACTCAAAACAAATATGATGTTATATTTTGCTTATGCCGATTATGAAGAAGGTCGATGTAAGTACGCAAAAGTTCATTCTATCTACAAAAAGTTAGTTTCATTGGAGAATATTGATCCGACACTAGTGAGTGAGACATTTTTCTTTTTGGTTTTTTATTTATTTTCTAAGTTTACTTTGTTATAAAGTCGGCAGTCAACTATCATGATTAAGCAGTCTAGTTTTTGATATCATTCACTACAGAGAACATTAGTTAAGTTCTTCTTTACATTTATAAAATTCCCATCCACTCGCCGGCATTTTTGTAAACGTTTACAGTTTCTAATTAAGCTACCATAACATGTGTTTGATATTGCACTGTAATCAAACTCTATTTGCAACCTCCTCCACGTTGCAATTGAACATTTTTCTCGAATTATCACTGTTTAAATAATTTACAGCATATTATCAGCCTTTATAATTTGTGTAAATGCTTTCCGGAAATTGAGTAGTGTATTTTTCATTATAGCCGTAATGTAATCAGTATGTTGAAGGTTTTCATAAACTCACATCAAATAAAAAAAACTTGAAAAAAGTTTTCAACTGCAACTGAAGGTGACAGATGTTCACTTAGAACATGCTTTCAGTGTAATTGATAATCAGTCAATACAGATAATGTGAACAAATTATTCCGAAATCGAGGTTGACCTATTCTAGTAAATGGAACTTCGTCTTGCTTTTGAATCATCCTTTTGTCTTATGGAAGAGTGAATGCATTTCCTCAGTTAAATGATATATATTATCGTGCTAATGAGTGAAGTCACTTAGTATTATGGCTATGTATGAATATTTAGTATAATTGTAGTAGTACAGAAATAATGCACCTCACTTACCAAGATAAGTTTACCTACTCGGATTTGAGCTAAGCACTTAGTACTTGTGGTACCACCCTTTGACTCTTCAAACAGGAGTAACTAGAGCGGTATTCGGACCTGCCATTTGCTAGATGAAGGCTAAGTGCTTTTCAATCTCTAAGTTACTGCTTCATGTTAGGTTTTTACTTACGATGCCTGACTTATAATTGAGGGTATGTGAATATGTATCAGTTCTTTACTTATTTAACTAATATTTAATATTTTTATAATTTTACGAATTGTCATCTATATAGTTGTATATTAATTTTGTTGTGAAGAGAAATACAGGTTGACTGTATAATCTGAATTATGTTCTTTAATTTATATTCTAGCCTTATATACAATATATGCGATTCGCCAGGAGAGCTGAAGGCATAATGTCTGCTAGATATGTGTTTAAACTAGCTCGTGATGATTCACGCATTACTTATCATGTTTACTGTAGTGCTGCATTAATGGAATATTTCTGTAGTAAAGTAGGTGTCTTTTGTTCTCCTTTTATAAATTTGTATTTTATTGTATGTGTATATGTGGTCCTCAATAAATACTCGGCAATTCATCATCACGCTTTTGTTGAAGCTTGGGAAAAACTCCTAGGTAGTTTATGAAATATGTTGGGTTTTTTCAATAGAGTTAAAGAATAAAAGTGAATCAAACATCTCAAGGAGAGTCATCACTACTGGAAGTATAATACAAATCCAAAGGGAACATCAACTTCCTGTGTTGATGAAAATATTGAATGTATGCTATCCTTTGTTCTTTCTGATAACTGATTCACTATTCTTATGAACTTAATTTGGGAAAATCGTTTACGCAGACGGTCCTAAAAATACTTGCAGTTAAAAAGTTAGGTCTCTAAAATGCTTGTCTTGATAGGACTTCAGGCGGTATTTCAAATAATGGGAATGAGGCAGTTATATTGTCGCAAATGAAAAGCATTTCAAAGGGTATCGAAATGATGTACCCTGTATTTTGTAAATTAGCGTTTCTGTAACTTGTGGTCGCATATGTTACTATTTGGCTATTAAAAATAAATTTCATTATAATTATAAGAATAATTTCGATCATGATTTTTAGGAATCCATCTAGTGTTTAGTGATGTACCGACATAATTATCCTCCATCCCACTGCACTGCCATTAACCGGCCATCTTTCTATGCTTTCTTCAAAAACAGTGCTTATTATGAAGACTACTGGGTTGACACAATCTCCGAGACCAATGTTTCAAAATCATCATGACAACACCTACTGAATGATGACCCTCATACATGTTGAGTACATTGTATTATCTATTTGCATATAGAAGACATTTTTTAGGAGAGTAAAATCATTAAACATGGGAACTCATATTTTGTCCCATATATTTTCCCGTGTAAACAGTTTTCGAACTGTTGCTAATTCATCCTACGTCCATTATTTGTTTTCTATTTTCTAGTAACTTTTCTTGTTTGTTTATTTGTTCTTTTCCACATTATCATATTAGGATAAAACTATTGGACATAAAATATTTGAGTTAGGCATGAAACGTTTCGGTGGTATTGCGGAATATGTATTGTGCTATGTTGATTTTATGGCACATTTAAATGAGGATAATAATATACGAGTGTTATTTGAACGAGCTTTAGGATCAAATCAAATTACACAAGAACGTGCACGTCTTATATGGGCTAGATTTTTACAATTTGAATCACAGGTAACTGGATAATTTTTTTACGTTCGTTTTTATTCAATATTTGTATTCTACATATTCTTGTTATAAAAAGTAATTTACTCATGTTACCTACATACTTTAAAATCTACAGTAATTGAATTTAAGGAAATAAAACCATTCCCCAACTGATTATAATTTTTTGTGTAGAAGTGAGGCGGGTTATAAAGTGTGCTGAATATGTAATTTTACATGGTGGATTAATTTCATTTAGACGACCATGGGAAACCGAGAAACAGTGGGTATTTATTTTGTTATAGCATGGGATTGTTTAACAGACAAAATCAACATAGGACGCACAGATGTGCGATCGCAGTGGTCGTTCATGACTCCACTAAAGATCGAACCCAAGACCTTCAGGCCTCACGTCAAGCGCTTAACCTTTAAACTAATAAATTTGATTTGGAGCTATTGATGTTTGATTGGAGTTTGAGTGTGTACACCATCATTGGGGAACATTTGCATCGCATGTTTAGAACCTACTACACCTAATGTTGCAGTTTGGATGACAGGATATTATCAGTAGTCCTCGCACAAATAGCGAAACTTAATGCCGAAATTATTATACATGCACTCAACAAATGAAATATATTAATTTTTAAATTACTTCCTTACTGTTATTACCATTATTTTACTGTTTTTTTTCAACAGGTTGGTGATTTGGCTAGTATTCTGAAAGTGGAAAAACGACGTTTACAAGCATTGGACAGTTCGAAAGAATTTTCAAGATTAGAAACCGCACTTCTGATTGATAGATATCGTTTCCTAGATTTATTACCATGTACAGATTCAGAGCTTAGATCTTTGGGTTATCGAGTAAGTGTATGTTCACCTGTTTATTTTGTTTGTTTTCTTTTAGAATTGATTATACCATCACTTTTTGTGTGATGTGAATACTATTTAAAACAATTACCATTTAATTTACTTTATAGGAACTGACTCGCTTTCAGCTGGCTGGAATTGGCAAAGGGTATGATGATATATTGTGCGGTGTGATCTCTTCCCATGGAGCTGCCGGGGTCTCTTTAGGATCCACACTATCTGGTGTCTCTGGTGGTAGTGCAGGCGTAGTCGTAGGTGATGCTCTTGGTTCAACAATCAATGGAACTGACCCAAGGCCAACTTATCCGCAGCCTGATGTCAGTCAGATGTTACCATTTAAACCGAAAGCTTATCCACGTACTGGGAGTCACCCAGTAGCTGGTGGTGAATTCCCACCACCACCGGCTGCTTCCTCTTTACTGAAACTAATTCCACCGCCACAATGTTTTCACGGTCCATTTGTTGATGTAGATAAATTTTTGGAACATTTCCTAGAATTGGAAATCCCTGATGGTAAGTGGATTTAAATATATTGATCCGTCATTACAGCAAATGGAAATTTATTTAATAATTATCATCCATCCACTGTTTTATTATTTTACCATTGTTTAAACCTATGCTGATATATCACATCTCAGACCATAGCTTACAAACCGTTAAAAGTCAGGAGTCGTTGGACAGTTATTTATCCTAGTTTGGGACTCCGTATTGGGTTAGCTTTGTTGTGCTAATTGTATCATTTGTGTTTATGTACTATTTGTAGACCAAAAATATTAATGTCTGTCGTTTTGTAAAGGTCTGTCACAAGCTAATCAATCAACTTTTTTGTCGGTATCATTTTGTGGAATTATCGAAACTATCACACACATACTCTTATTTACATGCAGCAGCAATTTACTTATTTATCTACTTACTCCTGTTACCCCTCGTGCAGAATAGGCCTTTGACCAGCATTCTCTAACCAACTCTGTCCTTTCCAGTTTTTGCCAAGTGCTATTCATTCTTCTGAAATCTGTGTCCGATTCCCGGAGCAATATATTCCTTAGTTTGCCTCTTCTCTATTTTCCCTTGAGGATTCTAGGTTAGTACTAACCTCGCAATGGAGCTCGATGTTTTCCACAATGTATTTCTTTTCCACCTCTAGTGTCTTTCCTCAATTTCTTCTTCATCTAAAAGCTGGTTTGTTCTTTGCCACAGTAGGTCCTTGGTAAATATGTCTGGCCAATGGATCTGGAGTGTCTCATATAAACATCGGTTTATTAATGCCTGTCCCTTTTTGATGAGTTATATTAGTTCCCCCGATTTCTGTTCCGTACCATGGGACTGTCTTGGCGTTTGTGTTAAAAAAATTCTGATTTTGATGTTGACTGACAGTTGTTCTGAGTTCCTTAGTTGTGGGAATAGTACCCTTGCTCTTAGCAGTCTGTGCCTTCACATCTGAATCAGATCGCCTTTGTTTACCAACTATAGTGTCCGGTTATGTAAAAGTTTACACCTCTTCCAGAGCATCGTCATCAAGTGGGATTTCGTCGACGCTCACAGTATCGTGATTAGGGGTCTCGCTTTTTCCCTTGTAAATGTCTGGGCCTACTGTTGCAGAATCCGGTGCTACACCGGTTATCTTCATTTTCATTTCTCGCTGTTTATGAGACGATCTTCTTAGGCACACCATGGTGTCTAAAAAGCTTTCATACGGCTCTCCTATCCATTCAGTCAAATGATTTCTCATGTTCAACGGTGATCCGTTATGATAGTCACTAAAAAGTCACAAGTCGATCACGACCGAATAACTGTTTCGTGTAGATATTTAGCCTAGGTTCAAGTGATATGATACATGCACTTACATAGTTTTCGTATATGGAAAGAGGCACTAATAGAGGTAGATTCCAATTCGTGGTGGAAATATTTCCACGAACCATTTGTGTAAAGAGCATCATTTTGTCTTGTAATGCCATTATGTTTACGGAAATACTGTTTCTGTACAGTTAAAAATTTTTTTAACTTGAGCTTCTATTGTTTGCGTAATAGTTGAAAACAGAAAACGAATATAAACTCACTTCTGTTTCTTGTGTGATCATTTTAAATTCGTGTTTCTCGATGAGATATTTGATCAGTTTTAATTACTATTATCATTATTTACCCTTTAAAGTAAGTCTGTTGACAATTATTCTGTGTCTTCATTCTGTCAAGATTATATGGAAGTTGTTGCAGGTGAATCTGAAGAATTAGCTACAAGTATTGACTCTGGTACAGCTTTATCCATTGAATTGGCTAGTACAGCGACTTCCGCTGCCCCACTTTTATTGGCTGCTCGTAAACGTCGACAGCAAATAGCTTTAGATAGTTTAGCTGGACATGGTAACCGTGCTTCTGTGGCTAATCAATCTAAATTGCGTAAACGAACAAATCTAAATGCCTTTGGCGACTCTGAAGATGAAGAAGAAGAGGATGATGACGATGATGATGATGATGAAGATGAACGTGCAGCTGCCTTATTAGGGGGTCAGATTCTTGGCTCTGGGTCAGAGTTAAGAAATCCTTTGTCGGCTGCTACTCTTGGCTGTAATGTACCTATGGATTTATATAGGTTACGGCAAATGCAAAGAGCTAAGTAACGTATTTTTAACGTTTTCCTCCTTTGAGGGGATTCCATTTGTATAAAGTTTGTATTCCCTTTAAAATATTGATAAGTTTTTGTAATTTGATCAATAAATGTTTCTTTATTTAGTTTCACTTTTGCTGGTTGTGTGGTTCAGCTACATTTCCTGTTCAAATAGACTTACATTAATTTACTGTGTGAAATCATTGTATCGAAGACGAAAATGATCTTATTATCTTTATTGATAAAGTTCACAGAAAGTATGATTGTTTTAAGTTTCATGGCAGTCTAATTGTTTCCATTTCATATACAGGACTAACCTGTTAAGTAAACGAACCGAATAAGAGTGTAAAGTAGCTCAGTTATGTTGCAACAGATAGAAGCTGATACAAGGTGTTTATTATAGTGATGGACGAAAAGTTGAAGCAGTGAGTATTTCTTTCGAGGATAGAAATGTTATAAGATACGGTCATTTGCGTTGCTAGGATAAATATTAAGTCAGTAATGTTTCGTCGTTCAGTGATGCTTCAACTCCATAGTCCGATCAGCGTTGGCCTGAGATCTTAGTTGTGTATATGGTAAGGTAAAATACCAGGCACTAAGAGCGTGGTCAGGAGAATCAAATGGTGTATAGCGCTTACAATGATATTCTACGAATGTTTGTTACATGGTCTAACAACGAAGAAGTGACTTGAACTCTCAACACTACTTTCAACAAGCAGCTACATCAGGGATGACGGGAGTACAAAGAGACCACTACAATGGTGCCGATCATAAAGCTAAATGCGAACCTGGTAGCATCCCACCAGGATCTGTAAATAATGATGTGACATGAAAATCCATGAGAGTGAGCTTATATCCTTTTTATTAATCAGATTTGACTAATCAATCTGAATGAGCGTGCAAATTATTGGTCCATCGACTGTTGTTGTAATGAATCCAAAAATGAGGAATAACATACGTTCTAGAAATTTTTCAGTGACAGACGGGACACGAGTTAGTGCAAACCAGTTGCACTCCTTGTCCTACGGCAGAACAAAAAGGAAAGGCTATTTAACGACTAAGTGAGTGAAAATCAGCAGTAAACAAGTCTCAAACCACAGTTCTCTACGTTTTTGACATTGATGGTGACCTCATTATTTTTACTAGACACAACCTAGCTGGAGGCGCTTAGTCACTCATTCGCAAAATATCACTGTTGAGCACTCCATGCTATGAATTCCTTACAACTACTAGCCAGCTTAGATCTAACTGCTGCAATACTAACTACTTGTTTGATTGGGCTTTTTATCTTTCGATTATAGGAATGTTGCAGATAAAAGTTTTGTGAAATCCTGAATATCCGTGACATCTTTAAACATATAAAATAAATCTTCAAAGACATCACAATATTGTAAGCGCGGATTTTTTCGGCATTATATTTACCCGTCGTCGTATAAAGGTTTAAAAGACTTCAAGATGGTTGTGATATGTTATTATTAACATATATAGAACAAATAGAGCAGGAGGTCCCGATTTAAGCACACAAACTTCTAAACATAAAAACGTTTACCTCATAAAAGCGATAAATGGATAGATTAAGACAAACCTGGAGATTCATCATATTACTCTTGTTAAACAATTACGAAATTAAAAATAAATATGTAGTTAAACACAAATATTGGGTCCTACGCGGGTGTTCGGTCTGGCGAAATGCTGTCAGTCTGGAGGGAAACAGACATGGTTTAAACATCATGGGAACAAATATATTAGAATGGTAAAGCATATATCAAAAAAATCCCGCTAGAAGTTGAATTCACTACTTAACCCTATCAAATATGTGACCCTGAGCCTGGGACAACCACTTTTGACAGCGTCGTTCGTAACGTCGTATACAGATATTGTTATGTGATAAGAAGTGGTAATAAACAAAATCAACTCGTTGAAATCATGTAAGTGGTTTATCAACATTTTCGGCGGGCATCCCGCTCTGTCCCATAAAATTTACATTTATCAACTGCTGTGAATGACTTCTGCAACATAGACAAACTGGTATCTGTTTCTATGGAATCCAATTGTTTGTACAGAAGCCAAGATATGGTGGCACTGTATTGAATACGGAGAGTGAAATAATCAGTCTTATACACTAATAATTTGGTCAGCGTGATATGTATATTACGGTACCAAAAATATATTCCCTAATGCCACTCAGAACCGGGTTGTTGTCGACCTTGCAGATGTTTATGTCAGATGAGTTATAACTATCGCTTATTATCAGAGCAAAGGAATATATCTAGGATTATATGTGGTCTATTGGTAGTGTGTGGCTCAGTATTTTTTGCGGGACAGTACTTTTGTCTACAAAACCTGCATAGACTGCGCTCCACCAAAATCCTGTTAGGATATGACAGTTTGACAGCTTTTCGAGGTCAGGTTTCAGTATGCAAGCCATCCCTGGTTTTCACTAAAAACTTGTGTAGTGATCTGAGTTTCTCACCATTAGTGTATAACACGTATAATTCGCAGAATTATTATTTTGACTCAAAATTAGGTTGAAGTACCTCCAGGTTTGGACCGAAATCGAGATAATCACTAAGCACTAGAGAATATAAGGCGCTTACTAGGAAAGTCTTACGTCACAAATGGGATAAAACAACGCAGAACCATCAATTGTGGTGATGGTTTAAGGAACTGTGGTGTTGGTTAATGTTGTTGGACAGGTAGACGACGAACTTAAACGTAATCTGCACAAATGTACTCGATGGTTGCTAGTTTTAGCAGTTTTTCGCCTCGAAATAAGTTCATTGTAGCGGTAAATTAATCCCCAAAATTAATAGCCCTGTAAATCTCCGACATTGGATGCTGACCACATTAATTTTAATGGGCTCACCTAGATGAATGCGTCCGGTCATGCATCCGCAACAAATTATGAGTGGAAACGCCGTGCTCAACATCCCCTGCAATCGCTAGCCAGATTAAATCAGACGATCTTCGATATACGATAGCCTATCAAATGTATCTTCGAACCTCTCCGCTTCTGTCTTTTGATTTCACTTAGTGGGTACGATTCATAACACAAGGTGTTGTCAACATAAGGTGCTCAAGGCATCCGACCAATGAGAGGCAAACCGGCGACCATCCTGGACTACCAAGAACCAACCACCATTATTCAATTATGCATATTTAATGGCGTTGTAAGTTTCTATAGACGGTTCATACCAAACTGCGCGTCCCTTGTGGAACCTCTAACCGACCAACTTTGAGGAAATGCGAAATCCATCAATTTGAATGATACCGCGAGAAAGGCATTCTACACGAATAAAAAAATTATCGTAAAAGCAACCATGCTTGTGCATCGGCACACTCAAGCAACCATTGTTATCGCAGTAGACGCATCCGACTCAGCAATCGGAGTAGTCTTACAACAGTGGGTTAACCACATTTGGGGACCTTTGGCATCTTTCCCAAGACGGTTGCTAGACACTGAATCCAAGTATAGCACTTTCGGTAGGGAACTCCTAACTATGTATTGTGCTGTACGGCATTTTCTACACTCTATTGATGACCGAAAATTCACCCTTTTTACTGATTATAAACGTCTTACTTTCTCTTTAAGCTCATCTTCAGACAAGTACTCCCCTCGAGAGTCTGGACAACTGGAATACATTTCACAGTTTACTTCAGATATACAACACGTTTCTGGAGCAATCAATGTAGTTGCAGACGCCTTGTCCCGTAGGACATCTTTAAACAGTCTTTAAGGCATCGACCTTATTGAGCTCGGAAACAGGATGCTGATTGTCAGCACGTGTTATCTTCAACAACCCTAAAACTGCATATTAAAGAGATGGGGAAAGGTAAGAAAACTTTATTGTGCGACACATTTATAGATAAGGATCGTTCAATCGTGTCGAAACATTATCAACGCAACATCTTCCATACGTCGCACAAACCCATCCAGGTGTTCTTGCAACTGTAACAGCTTAGGATGATTGGTTAAAAGTTGACCTCAAACAACTAAGTATATCAGAAGAGGGTTTGTGTAAATTGTAGCAAAATCAATAGTTGAGATCATGTATCATTTGAAGCTAGACTGCCATGGAAAACCTGGAGGCACTGGACGGCCGTCTCGTCCTATTGTGGGACTCCTCAACAGGGCGCATCCATGAGTCCGCCTTGTGATATTCGATATCAGTCTCGCGCGTGAGCGCATGACCACTAGACTACTGATCCGACATCCAACTTTGTTAATGCCTAACTTCGACCAACACATGAAACTGAGCGACGCACCTAGCACAACAGACCCGGTTGTACTCCACTGGTCACTGATCCTGCCTCGCGGGATCGTGGATGCGCACTGCTGGGCAGTCCCACAATAGGATGAAACGGCCGTCCACTGCCTCCACTTTTTCTATGGTGGTCTAGCTACAATTTACACATGATTTCAACTATTGAATCAAGGTATATGTCAAAACAACAGAGTCCATGTATTCATTCACTTCCTTATTTTGTATAGGCATTATGTTTCCTATTATCGTATGTTGAATGTTGAAAAGCTCTGTTTGAATGAACAGGGAATCTCATGCTCCACTGTGACTGCGCAAAGATCTATTAAAGACCTATTCACTACTTGTCTGGTTTTTTCTATCAATAGCAAGAGGGTTACCTAAAGGCACGAAACTGGTGAGGCCTGTGAAGTACAAATTTGATTTCATTCTTTATCATAAAATTTATTTTTTAATCAGTTGTAAAAACGAACCTTCTGATTATCTGTAACCAAAGTTTGGTATACATATTTATAAATAGTTTTTTATCTTAAAATATTCGTGTAGTAGTGATAATTTTTCATGTTCATTATATAACTATTTTGGTCATATATCTCATGTCAGACTTAATACAAAACCCGAAACCTGGAGCATTTATTGCCAGTGGAGATAGAAACTGTTATGACCACAAAATTCCGACTTCTAGAATTTGATCGTAGTGACCCTGAGTTACGGTTTGCCCAACTAGAGCATTATCTTACGAGACACAATATCAAATCTGAAGGAATTCGTTGTAGAGACTCGTGTTCTATCCTTCCTCCTCTAGTCGCCAAAATGTCCGTGACTTGATTTTAAGCCCACTACCACCACAACTATACACCATG